TTTGTCGCCCTCCTGCCTGTGGTTTTATTATTTCTCCCACTGGGTCTGATGTGACCATGAGAAGAGGGGCCCCTGCTCTGTGTCCGGGGCTCCCTGCCCCCTGCTCCCCCCTCCCCACGTCCCTGCAGCAGCCACCTGGTCTTCTCCTCTCCTCTCACTGGACACGCCCCCAGCCCCACCCCCTTCTCAGGGCCCTCCTTCCTCCCCACCTGCTCCTGGTTACTCTTGTCCTCTGTCCACTCCCTGCTGGTGAGTGTGCAGGGGTCAGCGTCTCCGTGAGGCCCCCACCCGGGTCTGATCACATCACTCATTTGTCTGAAAGCCTCTGGCTCCTGCGGCTGGTGGCTGGTCGGGCAGAGGCCAGCTTCTTGGCCGGGACAGAAGGGGGCGTGTCCTCTACAGCCTGCCCCACCCGCCCGCCTGGTCCCCAGCAGGTGTGCACACCTGCCCTCCCCAAGCAGAGCCTGTCAAGCTGTTTTGAAGTTTACCTTCAGGTCTCAAAGTCACACAACAGAAATGACCCAAAGTGCACACCACCCAGCGGCCCCCACCCACCCGAGACCCGTCAGTCATCTCGTGTTTCCCACATGGATGCAAACCTACATTGTCTATTCCTTGTTTACATAGAAGGCAGCCTGTCACCCACAGATTTTACACCTTTCACGCGTGCACGGCTCCCTCCGGAGCCCAGCCCCCGCGGAGGCTGGCAGGTCATTTCCAGCGTTTTTGTCCTAAAGGTGCTGCCACGAGGGGCCTGGTGGGAGTGCTGGGGGTTAGCGTCTGGAACGCTGCAGAGCAGGCCTCTGGGCAGGTGAGTGTGCCCATAGCATGTCAGCGGTGAGGGTGCCCACGGCAGCACCTGATTTGCTCTTCCACGGTCTCCCCGCCGGTTCAAGAAGCCACTGCCACACCGCCCTTGCCGTTCACACTTCCTCAGCCTGCCTGCCAGCCCCCAGCTCCCCACTGCCGCTCCCCAGCCTGCTGCGGGGCCCTTCCCCTCACGGGGATCTAGAGGCAGAGGCCCCTGGATGGCCACCCCGTGACCTCTGCCTGTCTGCAGTGGACCTCACTGAGGGTAGGGCCTGCCCTTGTTCCCCTTCGTCCCCGTCCCCACCCCCAGAGCAGAGCTGTGAGGAGAGCTGTCGGGGGACTGGATCCCGCAAGCTGGTCGCTTCATGGCCTCGTGTGGCATTCCTCACAT